GCAAAGTCCTGGGTTTAGGATTTTCCAGGAAATTGGTACTCAAAAAGCTGACACAAGTGAGAGCTTTGTTATTACGTGGCACAGCAAGCAGGGAAACAAAAGTGCACAGGAGTGTGTGTGCACACACACACACACAATGGCAATATAAACAGACAGAGCTTGTCCCCAAAGATACAAGAAAAATCACCTAGTGTGAGGGGGGAGGGAAACATATCAGAGAGGAAACATGCCCATAGTTGGAGTTCAGGTGGCAAAATTATATACCTTAAGAATGGGCTTGGTTGAGAACATGTAATTGGTGCCAGATGTGGGAGGGGGCATTCCTAATCAGACCCAGATGTGGTAGAAAAATTTTGGGGTCACTTATTGATACCAGGCTTGAGTGAGGCTTGGGTAGGAGAAGTTTCGTTATCAGGACCCCAAACTGAGGAGAGGATCTAATGTTAACTATCTAAGGCAACTGAAGAGAGGACTAGCTGCAGAGTTTCATCCAATCAAAAACTGTGAGACTTATATGCTTGTCAGAGAGTTAACAGAGGAAAAGTACAAATGGTTTGTCTTTTCCTACGTACTTTTATGGACATTAGGACCACTGAGCCTAGTTTATTCTGGAGTCCTATCACTATAACCATGTCATCAAACAATAAAAAGTATACAATTATCACAATGCCCTAAACTCTTGATGTCAAAGGCAGTAAGTTACTACAATAAGTTGTACAAAAATTCCACTATGATTTAAAGCATTACATGGCTAAGAACAATACATAAATGCCCACTAATTATGTAGTCTTGCTTGTATTACTATAAACTATGTATACTATAGCTGAGCTCTTCAAACAATATACCAAAAAGATAACACCTCGTATGATAAGTTAACCAAGAAGTTAAGTTCTACTTCCACAGTGCTACCAAAAATGAAGACCACAATAAGGAAGTCAGAGATAATACCAAAAATCTGATTCAAATTCGAAAGTATTGGAAAATGGGAAGGTAAGTATAAACACAAATGACTGTTATATTAAATACAATTTGCATCACAATTACTTCAATACTTTGGTATATTGCAGCATGGAAGTAATTAAAATGGAAATTTATTTAAAGCTATTGCTATGCTAACCTAAAAGGATTTTTTTTTCTTTGCAGTGTAGATGTGGATTGAAGAGTTACATCAGCTCTTACAGATCTAACTTCAACTTCTGATTTTTAATGAAAATGTAAAAATCAGAATAGGAGGAATTCAATTTAACAAAGTCATGCTTTAGTAATTTAATGAAAGAAGTTAGCTAAAACATGTCAAGAGTGGAAACTTTAAAAATGGCATATGCTACACACACATACAATTTTTAAAAAGTAAACTGGCATGATTGGTATCTAGTAAGAAGAAAGGCGGGGGTCAGCTAGGTGGTGCAGTGGATAGAGCACCGGCCCTGGAGTCAGGAGGACCTGAGTTCAAATCTGGTCTCAGATACTTGACACTTACTAGCTGTGTGACCCTGGGCAAGTCACTTAACCCCAATTACCTACCTAAAAAAGAAGAAAGTGAAGTTAATCCAGGTCCCCTGTAGTATGGAACTTTGATCATCTGGTCAATACACTTAGTTCTGTCATCCCAAACAGAGGGATTCAAATAATTTACAGTTATACATACAAGAAAGTTATACATACATTTACAGCACAATTAATATTATTCTTATACTTGATACTGAGACTAGATTTGGGTAGTTCATTAATTTTTTTTTAATGACACAATAATGGGTTCCCAAGATTTTTACTTGCAACTTTAAATTAAACTACAGGCTCTAGAAATCTTTAAAAGGATCTCTCAGATAAGCTTCCCTAATGTCAGATTTCTTCTTCCTGTTGTACTCTATATCCTCTCCTCCTAGACTTACATTTTTTTAAAAGTTTTGCAAAACAGTATCTCCCATGCCCTAAATTTCAAAAAAGACAAAATTTCACATTTTTCTCAAAAAGATGAAAATCTTTCAACAAGTTTACAAAAGTTAGCACGTGTACGTTTGAAGATTGCTTAGTATAACATAGTAAATATAGTCAGGTAGACAGTAGTAACTTACCTTTTTGGCACAACACATAGAATGTTCAGAGCTGAATGAGGCGTCTTTGTTTATCTAGTCCAAATCCCATCACACAAAATTGAGATCCACAAAGAATTTAACTTACCTAAATTCATGAAGTTAGTTACTAGTAAATATGTGAATACAACTGAAGTCTATAGACTGAATCCAATTTTCTTCCAACCATGGCAGGTTGTTTGTCAAATACTTATTACTAGTTTCTCAAATGACACAAACGATCAAAGTACTTGACTCAAAGACAGAACGAACGAAGGAAGGCGTTTATTTTGTTTCTTGCAAGAAGCTGATATGCTGCTCCCAAAGAACACACACAGAAGTAGAGCAAGCTCTTATACCTTAAGGTGTGTCAGATAAGCTAATTAAGTATGTGCCAATGCAAGAACAGCTGTTAGTTATCTGTCAATACTTGTAGTTAAAGAGTATCTGCTAATCAGGATATACTAATTCATAGGCATCCTGTTTTCACATAAACTTCTGTGGAAACAGAAAATTTCACAAACATCATTTTTCACATCAAATATTTTGGCATTTCAAAAAACAAAACTGAGTTACTAACTTTACATGTAAAATTTTAAGAAAAAAATATTTGATCTTGGATAAAAAACATGAAAAATTAACATTGTTTCTTCTGCCCACTTAAAAAAGGTATACCAATATTTTATATGTACTTCATAGAATTTCAGAGTTGGGGGACCAGCCCAACCTATACCTAAAAGGAATCCACCATACATGAAAAGGCTCTATATATCCGTGTATGTATAGCTATTCATATATACACACAGATACATAGACACACACACACACACACAAACACATACGTATCCAGCCTCTTCTAACTGTTAGATTTTCCTCATATCAAGTATAAATTTATCTCTGAACTTTTTACCTACTGCTCTTGATTATAGCCTTTGGAGTAAAATGGTAAGTCCAACTTCTTCAAATACTTGAAGAGAGCGAACCATCATTTCTCTCTGGAAACTCCCCTTCTCCAGGCTAAATATACTCACTTACTTCAATCGATCCTCACATGACACAACTTACAGCAACATAACTTTATGATACTAGCTGTCCTCCTTTAGACACCGTCTTATCAATATCCTACATAAACTATATTGTCCAGAACTGAACACAATACTTTAAACATCGTCTGACTAGGACACAGTACTCTACCATCTCCTAATATCTAAAAACGATGTTTCTCTTAATGCAACCTTTATTCACAGTAGCTTTTTTAGCTATGACATCATACAAGTGACTCACAATGTTTACAGTGCTCTAAAACCTCTTCATCTTTTTCAGACAATGATGCCTTCCCCTATCCTGCACTTGTTAGATTTATACTGAACCCAGGTATAAGACTTTACATTTACTTTTACTAAACTTCATCCTATTAGATCTAGAGTAATGTTCTCTTAGTCAAAATCTCCTCCAGCAGGTTAGCTAACCTAAGGTTGTATCAACTGCAAATCTGATGCATACATTATCAAATTCCTTGTTTTAAGTCACTTATAAAAATGTTAAGGAGCACAAGGCCCAAAAGGAGATCTCTGAGGCACTCTACTGGAGGGAGACCCCTGGACAAAATGATACCAAACCCTTCACAACAACTCTTCACAACCCTTCTCTGAGCCTACTCATGCAGTCAGTTCTGATTCTATCTAACTATATTATCTAGCCCAAATCTCTCTAGCTTTTCCAAATGAAGCAGAGCTAATCTGACAATTTACCAAAGGGCACTTCTTAAAAAATTGGATATAATATATATTTTGGTTATGGCCTACATTATGAAACTGGAAGCAAAACATCTGCCTAACCACTTACAAACATTAAAAGCCATTTAAGACCATCTGAAAAGTCAAACGCTCTGAAAGTAATTTGCTAGAAAAATAAATGTGAAATTACACAGACTTGTGACAGAATTTCCAATAGTTAATGGTAGAATTAGGAAGGATCTCAGGGATCATCTAATTCAATTCCTTTATTTCATAGGTGAGGAAGCTGAGGAGGATCAGAGAGGCTAAGTGATTTGCCAAAGGTCAAGTAATTACTAAAAAGTAGAGTCAAGGGGTATAAGTAAAGCATTCTATTTTCTAGTCCTGTGGTCTTTTGACTGTTACTCGTTTTACTGACTTAGAAGTAAAAAAAAAAAAGTGACAGAAAAACTAGTTACCTCCTAGAAAATAAACTATTTAATCTGATAATCTGCAGTCACCCCTAATAATCCTAATAGTACTGAATAGCCCTAAATATTTCTCTGAATTTAGTCAGGAACAATTGATTTATCTCCAGATAATCACATACTATAAATGGGCCATTTTCTGAATATGGCCCATAACACATATACATAAACTGGAAGAAAAACACAAGTAGGTAATTAACATTTTGTGGAGCAAAATGTTAAAATCTAGACAAAAATTAAAATTAACTCATATATATATATATATATATATAACATATTATATTCACTAAACCTGGTAGCATAAGACTAAGAGGTTATGTATGACCTGTCTAATATGGGAATTTGTTTTGCTTGACTATATATATTTGTAATAAGTTTTGTTTTTCTTGCTTTCTCAATGGAAGAGGAAGGGAGAGGACAAAAGAACAGAATTAGGAACTGAAAATAATATAAGACTGAATTAAAAAAGTATTATGAGCAACATCCACCAATATCACTATGACTAGTTTAATTGAAAAAGCAGAAGCTATAGGAATACCAATACTAAAACTCGTGTCAATAATCTCTCTAATTTATATAGATACTAAGGTTTGCAAAGCAGTTTGTATACATTATCTCATTTGATTATCTTTTCAGTTTATAACACTATTGGGCAGTTTCTAAGAAGTAAAAACAACACTTAACATCATTATAATTTGATAGGGAAAAATAATAATTTGACCTACCTTAATCCATGAAGAAATTGCAAACAGATAACATTGCTGCGATGAACTTTCTGTTTAATTTTAAATCGTTAAAAGAAATGTGAGAGAGGAGGTTAAGATGCAATGGCCAAGTTAGTCTTAGAAACCCTTAACCTACAATATCTTATTTCTTAATTAACACAAAGTTGATTTATATTTGAAAAGTTAAATATTCTTAGACTTGTTATTTTAGATTTTATAAAAAGCTGACATTGCCAATTGCTTTAAAAAAGTTCTATAAGAGGTATCTGGAAACAAAACTTTGTAACTCCTGTTATACATAAAAAAAAAAAAGAAAAATTATATGACTGCTTGGGATAGAAGAGTAATTTTGAAATACATTTTCAAACTTGATTAAAATACTGAAATGAGCATTATTCTCTATATTTTTTGTTTAGAAGACCCCTTAGGAAGTTTGGGAACCCCCCAAAAATCAAGCTTTTAAACTCATGATGCTTTAATTTTTAATAATTAGTTTCATAACCTACTGTTATATTTTCATCAATACACCTGATTACTGTTATGGAAAAAGATCAATGAAACATAACAGACCTTTAAAAATATCTAACTTGCTGTATTTTTAATCATTCAAATATTTTGACTTAGGTCAGTACAGGTTTCTGGTATTTAGGTTTCAACCAATAAGCATAACTTTACAAACTTACTTTATTTGTATATTGGTACCAAACTGTGGCAGGCATTACAGTACTTAAATGCATCTGTTTTATTTCACTATTTCATTTAATGGTTCTTATCAGGCACAGGGGCCTGAAACATAATATTCCATAATGTAGTTCACTTCTTATAGTAAAAAAACAAACGAAGTTCAGGTATTTTTCTTTTGATACACCCTTTCATAAAGAGTATACAGTAATATTATGAAAAGCTATAGTGTTGAGGGATATATGACTACAAATTGCTATATTTTTTATTTAAAGGAAAAGTTCCACATTTTCATTTTTTATAGATGCTTCAAGGAGAGGCATTAACAATACAGAAAAAGAAATGAAACAGTTTTCTTTAAATGCCCTAGTTAATTCCACCTATTCTGTTCTTTGACTATGCTATGTGTTTTTGACTTTCTAAATGAAAATACTCTCATTTTCCTAAAAAACTTCTTCAGTACAAGAAACCAGTTTTACCTAAAATATTTTAAAATGAAACAAAGTTTGTCTTCACAATTAAGTTTGGCTCAAAAAATGTTAGTAAAAACTTCTTAGAAATCAAAAGTTAATTCAACCAAACATTTAATAAATTTAACATTTGTGAGTGCTAAATCCCAGAACTAACTTTAGCCATTCCCTAAGGAAAGGAAGCAAAAAAAATTTAAAACTCAAAAGAGTAAGGAAAGGCAGGTAGTAGAAACTCCTTTCTGGGGAAATGGAAAAATGTTTAATGCTTCTGGTTGAAAGTAATTAGGTCTTAAAATAAGAGTAGCCGAGTGCTTAAAAAACTCTTTTAGGGCTAATCTTTATTTCCATGTGAATTTGTAATTTTGTATTGATTGATTAAGCTTGTATAAGATTCAAAGATTTTACTGTGCATGGCTTCATCTGCTCATTTGGTTGGTAAGAATCAACTAAATGCAAAGAACTATACCCCAAAGAGAAGATCATGGGATCATACACTGATTTAGAGCTAGAAGACACCTTCAGGGCCATCCAACTCCCTCATTTTACAGATGAGGAAACTGAGGCCCAGCAAGCACATGTGAATTGCCCCAGGCCACACAGTTAGTGAGTATCTAAGTCAGGATTCAAAACTCAAGTCTACCTAACTCGAAGTCTAGTATTCTATCCACTAGACTACCAGTCAACCTAATGGTACAGTGCAAAAGGTGCCAGGGTTGGGAGTTAGGAAATCTGGGTTAAAATCCCTGGCATTAAACAGTCATGTGTTCAAAGGCAACTCATTTACCTTCTCTCAGTTCTAGCTTTCTTATCCATAAAATAGGAATAAGAATACTCATCATATCTACCTTAAGGTATTTATAAGTTATTATTGCGTTATGAAAAAAGTTGATTTGTTGCTACTTGAATCTTCAACCTATTCCAAAAAAGGAAGGCTGCAAAGCTAAAAACTGAGGGTAAAAACTGGTCTATGATAAAGGTTATAAGATTAAAAGGCATCTCAGAGGTCATTTAATCCAACCAAATGTTTTATAAAGGATGAAAAAGAGAATTAAAAGTGATTTTTCCCAGTTTTCCTAACCTGGAAATCAGGAGCATGGCATAACAGAGAGTGCTAAGACTTGGGGTTGCAAAGACCTGGGACTGAATGCTCCCTCTGACACTTACTGGCTGTATGACCTAGCACAAGACTGAAGAAGTTTTAGAAGAAGTAGGACTCAAGGAAAAAGAAGTTGATATGATTAAGGAAAGTCATGTAAGAGTCTTCCAAAGGAGATGGCCACAAAAGGTATTATCAAGAACAATAAAAGATTGAAGATTTTGCTTCTAGAAAGTATGAAAAGGATGTCAAATTTTACAGACACCTAAATAGAGTATAATGAAAAAAGTATGTGGTGATATTTGCCTTTCTGTCACAGATAAATAATTATTTATGTTCAAAATGCAGGCTGGTCTCCCTACTAGAAAAGAAGATAAAAGGGACAAAAGAATGCTTCTCCACTCTTCTGGTTATCTGACAGAAAAAAAATTATTTAATGACATTTCTTAAATGAAAGAACGGTTTTGATGTGAAATTTTTTTAAAGGATATGAAGAGACAAAGGAGACCCCTGAATTCTGTCAGGAGACTGGATGACAAAAAAATATGGCACAGAGGAGAAAGAGAAGGACCACTGGACACATGAAGTTAAGTAACAAATATACCATACTTCCCAAAGAATAAGAAGTTAGATGGGCTCTCTGAGGAGGAAGCAGTTGTTTTTCAAGGAATGATGATGAGAGCCCATAGCTGCTCTTATTTAGGAGGTGATCTGGTAAAAAAGGTTAGAGGATGAAAAGAGCAATAGCTCATTTGAAGATGCCATGCTGAGGGGTAATGACACATTTATCTGTCCACAGTATAAATGCAGTAGGAGGACTTCTGTCCTGAAGCATATGTCAAGGACCTGATAGGAAAATTCCCAATAAACTAGATGGATGATTTTAAGTCATCACTGCTTTTAGTAATTTACTAGGGCCCAAGAAAGAACTCTAGAGGATATTGCTAAAGATTATGAAGACTTGGGAGGAAAAAAGGAAGAAAACTGAAGCAAAGGTGGTAATTTCATCACTGTTGATGATCAAGCAATTATTAGCTTTTCATTTCCCAGATCTGCCTCAAACAGAGAGGCAGATCTGGGAAGTGAGCAGCTGATAATAAATTTGATGTCTTAGAATGAGATAATGATTTCTGGACCATGTTTTTAAATAATGGAATGAAAGACTCCTGGTCAAGGATGAATTTCACTTAGAATATACTTGCTTAGAGTCTAGCAAATCTAATAAAAAAGGGCTTTAATTTAGAGGATGAGGAAGGGAAGAAATGGACTCAATTGTCAATATACAAGTGCAAAAAATATGAGAAATATGCAGAATAAAATAAAGATCTTTCCCTAATTTAAGGAGGCAAATTTGGCCTGATAGATTGCAATGAATCTTGGATGATGAGACTTTCTGAACATAAAGAATATATTCATGTCAGAAAATCTAGGAACGAAGGATAGGGAAAGCCTAGTGGACATTTTTGAGGTAAAGATAAATAGAAGTAGAAACATAAAAGATATTGTTAAGGGTGTATCAAACTACAAAAATAACAAAGAGATGGGTTCAGGGAAGCAGATCATGAGCCTGGTGTGGAGACAATAATGAAGAACTTCAATGATTTAAAACCTCTGTTGAAGTTCACACTCTGCAAAAGCTGGGCAAAAAATAACTTTTTTTGCTTACCTTAATGACAATTTCATTTTTCAGAGGGTGGAGGAACCAAGGAGATTTTCTACTTTTATTTTAATTTTCACCCATAAAGAAGTGATTGCTGATATGGAAGTGATGGGAACCACAGAGAAAAATAATTACTGAAGAATGGTGTAGTAGAAAGAGAACTGGATTTGGAGTCAGGGGACTAGGGTTTGAAACTGCCTCTGCTGGGTACTGCTGTACCTGTGACTGTGGGGCAGTCGTGTAATCTCCCTGGGCCTTAGCGTCCTCACTTTTAACCTACATGGATCTGATGAGATGATTTCAAGGTTCCTTGCAGTCCTAAATTTATATTATGATCTCAGAATCTGTGATAGATGTGAGGAAATTGAGACATCATCTCAAATTCACTCTAGATTTTGCGAGAGCAGATTTCAAAGTTTAGAGAAACAAAAGGAAACATCTCATGGACTAATTCTGAAAGAGAACTCAGTCAAGGAGCCCTGGGAAGCTCTCAAGAATAAAATTCTGAAGATGTACGTACAAAAAAAAATTCTGATGAGAAGAATATAGGGAAGATGTGGCTACCTGGTACTATAACTCCTTTCAGATTCTTGCAGTATTTTTTTTCTTTGACATGGAAGCTCTGATTTTGGCTATGATGTAACAGAGAATTTTCCTTTGGAGATTTCTTTCCACAGGTGAATGATGGAGTCTTTCCAACTTCATTCTGCCCTATAATTCTCATAGTTCTGAGTCATCATTTATGATTTCTTGAAATATAAGTATCTAGGCCTTTTTTTTAATCATAGCTTTCAGGGAGTCCACTGATTCTTATATTATCTCCCCTTGACCTGTTTTCCAAGTCAGTTGCTTTTATTATCAGACAGTTTGAATTTTCATCTATTTTTTTTCTTTCAATCTTTTGATTTTGTTCTAATACTTCGTGTTGTTTCATGGAGTCACTGAATTCATTTTAGTCTACTCTAGCTGGCAGACAGTACATTATATGGGTAAAGTTTACCATTTTCTCTTCTGAGATCAAAAAATAATATTTATAAAAATGCTTAGTATAATATCTGGCACATAAATTTCCTTCCCTCTTCCCCTCCTTAATCAATTTATTCTCCTTTTGACCCTTTGTTCAAGAACATTTTGTTTTTTTATAATTCCTTGCTTCATTTAAGTATTCACACAGACCTTGCAAAAATCTACTGATCTTTCCCTTGAGTCTCCACTTGCAGTTGTTAAGGGAGTTACTTTCTCTTTTTAGGCTGGATTTTTAGGCATCTCTGGATCTACAATTATTCTTTACTGAAGTTGGAGTCTTCTTCGTTTTACTCATCTACCAAGTCTTAGTTCCTAAACTGGAACTTGGCACTAGGGCCAGACTCTACCTTCTCCTGTGATTTTGAGTGGGGTGTTCAACCCTGCTTTCTGAGACCAGCACAGAAAGCTAAGGAATATCACCTGGTAACCCAGGGTCCAGTGCTGACATCCTCCTCCTGGGGTTGAGCTCTTTCTAGGTCTTTGATGTTCAGAGTAATGGATCTTTAAGACCCTCTGTGACGTTTCAAGGCAGAGAGCCGGGGACCCCAAAAACCTGGGTTGTTCCTGTCTAAGAAAAGCCACACCTTCACTGGTCACTGCTGCTCTCAGTGACTTCCAAGTACCTCACTGTTGATTTCTCACTCTTCCTGGGGTTTCTCATGGGAGTCCTATGCTTTTCACTCTTTCCAGGCTATTGTCCTTGGTCTTGTTGAGAGGCTGAGCTTGTTTGCATGTGCTGACAGTCTATTCTCCTATTTCGCATGAGCTTCTGGCTAACTTTTTGTGTTTGGTGATGAAACAAATCACTTATTTTAGTTACTCATTGGATTTATTGATCATTATTAAATCTGGTGTGATTTTCAGGGTTTTACTTGAGTAGCTATTCAGGAGCTGAGCTAGGTGGCCTTGTTCGATTAGGTACCTTGGCCAGAAGTCTATACTCTTTGTCCTATCACCTATTCTGCCCCTTTGATCATTACTTCACTTTTATATGATATTTCTTATTCAATGGCTTCCTCCCTCAATACCTGCAAACACGCCCATGTTTCCTCTGTGCTTAAAAGTTTTCATTTGACTACCCCATCTCCTCAACTTACCAATAAAGAATCCAAGAATTTAACCTACAGTCTGTAAACAGGTTTCAGTGAGTCCACGAACATAGATGGAAAAAAACAAAACAAAACACATCTTTATCTTTATTAACTTTTTGTTTCCTTTGTAATCCTCTGTGGCTTTTTTTGTACATTTAACAATTTTATACTGAGGTTTTCACCAAACTACCAAAAGGGTTCAACACACACACACACACACACACACACACACACACACACACAAAGAACAAACTATGATCTAGTCCAATCAATAGCAGAAAAAAGAATCTTGTCTAGAGAAACAGTATGACAAACAGGAGTTCATCCAGCCTTCACTCGAAGACCTGCAATGAGTAAGAATCCTTTACCACACAAGGCAACCCATCCTACTAACTATCAGCAAGTTTTTACTTACATCAAGTTTAAATTCCCTTCCTTAAAACTTTCATCCATTACATTGTTCTGCCCTCTGGGACCAAAAAGAACAAGTCTATTCCCTGTGCATTTGACTGCATTTCAAATACTTGATGAAGGTTATCATGTTCCCACTTACCCTTCTACACTCTAGGCTATTAACCTCAGTCCCTTCAATCAATCTTTAGATGACATTAAATGAAATTATACACACACACACACACACACACATATATATGTGTATATATATATGTATGTGTGTGTATATATATATATATATATACACACACATACATAAATTGTTTTGCAAACCTTGAATCATTATAGAAACGTGAACTATTGGTATGATAGTAATTGCATCAAGCCATTTGCCATCCTCTGGACACTCTCTACCTTATCAGTGTCATCCTTCATAAAAAGTGGCAGGCAGATCTGAACATAATACTACATATATGGTCTAACCAGGGCAGAGTACAGAAGGACTATCACCTTCTTTTTTTCTGGAAGTTGTTCTTCTTTTAATGAAGTCCAAGGTCCTGTTAATCTTTTCTGGCTGCCCTCTCTCAAATTGCCCAGATTTTCAGACAAACTGTTGACTAACCATTAATGATCCATCTTATATTTATGAAATTGAATTTTTAGATGTAAGTAAGGTTTTTATCTTTATCTCTATTAAGTTTCATTTTATTAGATTCATCTTAATGTTCTATCTAACCCAGGAGAGGGGAACCTGTGGCCTTGAGGCCACATGTGGCCTTTTAGGTTCTTGAGTGCAGCCTTTTGACTGAGTCCAAGTTTTACAGAACAAATCCTTTTACTAAGGGGATCTGTTCTGTGAAGTTTGGATTTGGTCAAAGGGTCACACTTGAAGACCTAGAGGGCCACATGTGGCCTTGAGGCCACAAGTTCCTCAACCATGATAACCTATCAAGATTTTTTTGGATCCTGACTCTATCATTAAGAGTGTTAGCCATTTCTTCCAGTTTTGTGTCATTTGCAAATCTGATAAGCATGTCATCTATGTCTTTACTGAATTCATCAGCAAAAAGATTAATAGCACATGGGCAAGTACAAATCCTTCAGTCACTTACTATTTTTTGAGTCTGGCCAATCAACCATCTCCGCATCTACTTAATTATACTATCATTTAGCCCATATCAACTTTTCTGCAAGAAAAACATGGTACTATCTTTAGATATTCTCCAGCTACCAGTATAATAATCCCATCAAAAAAGTAAGTAAGTTTAGACTGTCATAACCTGTTCTTAATAGAGCCATGTTGACTATTAGTCATTGATGCTTTTCTAGGTTTTCACTAATCATCTCTTTAAGAATATGTTCTAGAATGGTGGTGTCCAATTCAAAAAGAAACAGGGGCCTCTAAACCATATATAATAGGGATCCCTGTAGGGTGCATATTGACTTAGAAAACCACATATTAATATTATCTAGCTTCTATTTTTTTATTTATTTTGTTAAAAATTTGTTAATTACATTTTAATCTCGTTCTGACCCAAGTCAGAGTGTTGTGGCCTGCACTATGGTCTGTGGGTCACATATCTGACACCTCTTTTCTACAGCTTTCTAAGGAACTGAAGTCAAGGTTACTGGCCCATAGTTGACAAATTCTACTCTTCCCTTTTGGAAAACTGGGACTTTGCCCTTTTCCAGAATTTTTCAAATATTGCTGATGGTAGCTCAGTAATTACATTTTTTAGTTGGTCTATTCTAGGTGACAAGTACTCATCAAGGGGTACTTAGGTTTTCTCTAACACTTTGTTGGTAAGTTCTCTGTGAAAACACATTAGTTTCTTCAGAATATTGTCCATTTTCTTCCTTCTTGGAATTTGTTTTGGTATCTTCAGGATGTCATTCTGAAAGATGGCTTTTAATATGCCCCTTGAAATATAGTCTCCAACCCCACTACTCAACCAAAACAGCGTCCTCCCAGTTTACCAATGTCTTCAACTGCTAAATATGTTTTTTCTCAGTTCTTATGCTATTGACTGCTCTGTGCCTTGTGATATGACTGACCACTTAACTGATCTTTTCGAGATCTTTTCCTATGTGTCTGACTGTTCCTTCTCAGTGTATATTCCCCCTCACTGGAAGTCTTCAAGCAAAAATTGAATGAACTTATCCAGGATGTTGTAGAGAGGATTCTTGTTCAGTCAGGGATTTAAGAAGATGGACTCTTCCAACTCTGGGATTGCATGAAAGGACTCTTTAAATATAATTTTTAAAAAAAAATTACTCTGATATCTTAGCCCGTACTTGAAAAACCTCTTAAAGCTTGTCCACTCCTACCCACTGGGTATTACTTATGAATGAAAAGAAAAGCCTACTACTTTCTTACCTGTGATTGACTTACATTAGGATTTTGCTTCTGTTTCTCCTTGATACAGAAGCTCTAATTTATTCACATGGTAAAAAATGGTATAGAAGTGGTATTTCAAGTAAAAATTTCTTTAGAGGAGAAAATTACTAACCTTAAATGATTTAACATAATGTTACAAGTTTAAAGAATTTTAGATGTCCTCCCTAACTTTGGGGTCAAATTTAAGCAACGAAAATTTAATTTAAAATAATGGTGCATTTATCACAAAGTTAAAGCACAAGGAATTAACTTTAACATATTTCCAACACCATTACTATTTGCATTTTATGTTAAAAAAAAAAGTTATATTGGTCAATAAGTCCAGTCACTACATACCTCGAAGGAGCAGTTGGATAAATAATTTTTATGTGCTGAAAAACTAAGTCGTGATTTAAAACTTGGTTGATCCATTCTCTGAATCTTTGGCCAGAATCACCTGAGAATACATGAAAGCAAAGATTTTAATTATACGAGCTAGAAACCAAAATTATTCCACTGAAATTGGTAATATTTGTTAGAATAAATTTAACTACTAATTTGTGACATACTTTGTAAAATCAATTATTATCAGAGTAATTCTTACAAGATGATATTCACATTATGATACATAACATACATTTTTCAATAAGAAAATATATGAAAATAAAGTAGATTTATATCACTCAAACATTTTCAAGATTTTCATGCTTATAATCCTGGAAGCTAAATAATAAAAAGAAACAAAACTGCTAGTCTTATGACTAGAAAATATTATGACTTTTATTCATGGTTTCACCACTACTTTCTGGGGGAGTGGATTGATTATGAAATTTTGCATTTTCTCACTTGTTAAATTTATCTTAGCAAATACATTAAAAGGAAATTTCTCCAAAAATACAAACTAAAAAAAATTCTATTTCCCATTTGCTTAATGTAACTTTTTTTAAAAAAATTCATTCCTCAGGCCCGCAAATAAATTCCTAAGAGTAACTAAAGTTTGTGAAAACCTGTCATTGCTAGGTTTCATTATCTTACCACTTGTTCAAAATGATTCTATGGTATATTTTGATTTATTCACTTACAGAAACTTAAGTTTTGTTTTAATAAATTTTTATATACTATAAAACAATTAGTATATACCCTGGTGTATAAAAAACAATCAGAGTTAAGAATTAATCCTTCTGAGAGTCAATAGATATTTGCAATCAGGGTCTGAATCTAGACCTTAATTTCCTGTTGGTACAATTCAGGAAGGAGGATTGGAAGTAGGTGAGGAAGAACTGAACTAGGTCACCTCTAAGGTCCCTTCCAGCTTTATGTCTATTATTCTTACCTAAAGACAGGATTTTAAGTGTATTAAATTTAATTGATAAATCATCCTCTATGCATATGCCCATTTAAAATAAATGCCAGATTACCAATTTTCATCTGTATTATTGGAATAATACTAACACCAACTCAACAATTTAAGGACTAGGGGTGTTTTTATTAAATCAAAGACGTAAAACTGAAGTTTTAGCATCTATGATTCACAACAATGTCATACCATATTAGTATTACATAGGCAGCTAAAAACTAGCATCCCCTCAAATGAAGTTCAAAGACAACTACTGAAATTTCTTTATAAACACAGATGTCTACCAAAGTTCAAATATACCTCATAGTAAACTTCCCAAACCAGTAAGTTAAACAGTTCTTTACAAATATTTCAAATGAAATAAAAAATAAAGGATCATTTTTTCAATACTGCACAATATTTGGGTAGTAGCTTTGTAGAAGTCAGTGAGAATTAAAAAAAAAACTCCTCAATAGTTGGCATAGTGATATATATGAACCATAACCCAATGAAGACAAAATAGCATTACAATTAAGTCCATGAATCATACATGATCACTATTACTTCATTAAGTTCATGTCCAACTATTTCTTTAAAAGTCAAATTATATTTTGCAGAAGGTTATTCACTTATACTGTATACTTCAGTTAAATTCTCATTTTAATTAGTCATGTTTCCTATACTACAAAAGTTAAGGAACACAAGTATAATAATTCAGTGCAACACAAAAACATTAGCTGTACTAGAATATCCAATTATAGCCATGATTAAAAGTTCTATTTTCAGGGGCAGTGAGGTGGCGCAATGGACAGAGCGCCGGCCCTGGGGTCAGAAGGACCTGAGTTCAAATCCGGCCTCAGACACATAACACTTACTAGCTGTGTGACCGTGGGCAAGTCACTTAACCCCATTGCCTAGTCAAAAAAAAAAAGTTCTATTTTCAAAAAACACTACTATCATCATCATCTCAAAAAATTCTCCATGGGCAGCTGAACTTAACCATGAACTCAACCAACAATACACAAATAAAGAGTTATCAAGCAAATGGCTAATTTATGCAAATTTCACAGAATGAAAGAATGTGGGAGTTAGAAATACAGTACAAGGCACGTAGTAGCTGCTTGATAAATGCTTATTGACTGACTGACCTCAAAAGCAATCTATTCCAATCCATGTATGAAAGGAATACTCACTACAACATATGTGACAAATGATCATTTTAACTCTGCTTGAAGACCTCCTCTAAGGCAGGGCCTATTTCACTTCTAGATAGCTCTGTGAGAAAGTTTGTGGTTTTTGAATCTATTTCTCCTGGTTCTTTCCTTTGGGATTAAATAGAACAAATTCAATCCCTTTTCCGCCTGACAGACCTCCAAATACTTGAAGACAGTTATAATAAAATCACCATCACAGATTTAGAGCCAGAAGGGATGTTAGATCATTTAGTATAACCTATCATTTTATAGATAAGGAAAATGAAGCCCAGAGCCACAGTGAAAATGATTTGCCCAAGGTCACACAGGTAGAAAGCGGAAGAACCGGGTAGGGGGGAGGGGAAATGTGGCCCCATCTCCATAATATCTGGCTCCAGATGACCTGTGCTCTCATTTCCTAAATCTTCTAACTCCAGCTTCCCTGCTCCGGAGCTCTGTCCACTACAACATGCTGACTCAGCACAGCCCTTTAGATCTTCTCTTCTCTAGGTTAAACATGCTCAGTTTCTTCAACCAATCTTTATATGACATGGACTCAAGGCCTTTCACCATCCTGGATTTCTTCCTGTGGACGCTCTCCCATTTATCAATGTTTTTAAACTACGGAACCCAGAACTGAACCTAATACTCCAGAAGAGATCTTATAAGAGAATACTACAGTAAGCTTATTTCATCCTTATCTCTGGAAGCTATGACTCTCTTAATGCAGCCCAAGACTACATTAACATTTTTCAGTTAACTCATCACGTTGTTGACTCAGGTACTTACAGTCCACTAAACCCCTAAGGTCTATTTCAGAACTGCTATATAGCCATGCTTCCTCCATCCTGTATTTGTGAAGTTGTTTGAATCTCCTATCAAGGTCTTTATATTTATGCCCACTGAATTTTAAATTATTGGATTCATCCTAATGCTCTAGTCTGTTAAGACATTTTTGAATTCCAATTCTGTCATACAATGTGCTAACAATGCCTCTTAACTTAATGTCATATCAAAATTTAATGAGCATCTATGCCTTTATCCAATTACTGATAAAGTGTTGAACAGTAACGGATCAAGCACAGATTTTTTTGGGGGGACAGGGCACTCCACTAAAGACATCCTCCCATGGTGCCAATAAAATGCTAATTACTAATCACGCAGTCTAGCCACACAACTACTGTGAATCCATCTAATTGTATTATAATTTAATCCACATATCTCCATCTTCTTCCCAAGAATAGTAGGAGATATGTATCAGAAACTTTGGCAAAATCTAGGAAGGGAGAAGGGAAGGGTATAAGCTTTTATTAAGCAAATATTATGTGCTGGGCACTGTACTAAGCACTTTACAAATATTACACCATCTGATCCTCACAACAACCCTGTAAGATAGGGGCTATCATTACTCTTATTTTTGAGTTGAGGAAACTGAGGTAGACAGAGATTATGTGACTTGGCCAGAATCACACAGCTACTAGGTGTCTATGGCCAGATTTAAATTCAGGTTTTCCTTAATCTAAGCCCAGTACTCTATCTATTGTGTCATCTAGCTGCCAAATACGTAAACTATACCCACAGCATTCCCTTTATCAGGAAGGAAGGAAGAAAGGAAGGAAGGAAGGAAGGAAGGAAGGAAGGAAGGAAGGAAGAAGGCATGACCTAATCTGGATAGAACCACTAGTTCTTTGTAATCACTGCATTGGTTTCTAGATATTTACTAACCATCTTTTTAATTATCTACTCACAAATTTCCCCAAGAATAGAAGTCAAATTCCAAAACTCTAGGAGACAACGATTACTCTCTCCCACCCCCCCATCTCACCCCAAGAATCTCATCATTTCTATTCCACCAACTAGTTCCTCACAATTAATGAAAATAAAGGTCCAAAACATAATTTCCCTTTGTTGAATCTTCCACTACTTGAAAGATGAAATTATAATTAAAGCATGTCAATAACTTATTAGCTGCCTTGCTATTGGCAAAAAGAGGACTTGATCAGATGCCTGAATAATTGAAATCTCCCATTACTACTTTATCATGCCTCTGTAGCAGGCCTGTGGTTTGTTTCCTAAACTCCTCATCTAGTTTCTCTTTCTATCCTGATGTTCTTTTGTATACTACAATGACAAAAACTATTGTCTCTCCTATCACTGACCTTCACCTAAATATTCTCTGTCATGATTACCATCTCTGGTTCCTGGATTTTCTCATGAGCATATCTTCTTAAGTACAATCCTGCCCCATACCTGCCTCTTTTACCTATCTTGTTTTCTTTTGAATGAAAAATATTTATCCAGAGCCATGATTCAATCACAGGTTTCATCCTACCAACTTTCAGTGATACCAAAGAGGATAAATTTGTCTCCTTGCATTCACCTCTTTGGTTCCTCATTTGTTGCTGCCACTTCAGGCATTTGTGTATTGATAATTGAGGTCATGATTTTTACTAGTCTTCTTGCATTTTTCCAAGATAAGGACCTGTGAGTTTTTTAGCTGCTAATTCGTATTTCTTCTTCATAGCTACTCTCAATGGCACATAATTTGGAGGTTATCCATAGATAGTCTTCCTCCTCCTTTGTGATAATATTTGCAATGTATCCTAACTAAATTCAGTAAGTGTAATCCCTCTCTCGCTAGTAAGCTATCATCTCTATATTTTAAGCATTGCTCTAGAAATCTAAATCTTATTTTTAAAAAGCATTTTTAGCCAGCTGCTGTTCACTCCTTTGTTTTTGTTTGTTTGGTTTTTTTTTTTGCATCTGTTGTATTCAAAAGGCAATTAAGAGGAAAATACAACTTGTCAACTTTTGCTACTTTGGTTTTCAGTTTATTCTCTAAAACTTGCTTTTCAATACTTTTAAAATTATTTATGGCAATGTCATTTGTGTCCATGTGAAGCACCAGAAATGTGTGGTCATCCAGTC